CGGCTGGCCTGGGAACGCCTTGGTATTCCCCCGGACAAGCTGGAGGAGGTGGCTGGGGAGAGGGAGGTCTGGGCCTCTTTGCTTAGGCTGCTGCCCCCGCGACCCGACCTCGGACAAAGCGGATGACGATGGATGGATGGATTTTCCTATTCTTCTCCAACAAACGACTGAAATTGGTGATGGCCACTGGTTCTTTGTCTGACAACAGGATTGATCTCTATGCCTCAGGAATTTCTGGAATTTTACATTTTTGGACTACGACAGCTTGGCGTTGTCTGAGGTTCTGCAGAAGCAGACTCTTCCTGCCACTATTTAGGGTAAAAAAGCAGCCACTCTTGAACTGTCAAATAATCTGTTTATATTGATCTGGTTTATGTTCTTGGTGTTGGCACAAACACTCATTGTGTTGAACTGGAAACAAAAGAAACTGCTATCCCACCCCACCAACAAAGAAAAGAGTTAGAAAAAAAGCAAAACAAACAAAAAACTGCATCGCATCGTCTTTCTTACCCTGGCAAGGTGGCAGACACTCCATCCTCTGCCGCAGCCTTCTTTCCACCTTTCATCAGCTGGTCCTCCAGTGCATCCACACGAGACGCAAGCCTCTCTAGGTCCTTGTCTGGGTGATGGGGTGAACGTAGTTGACCTCCCTTAGATGACTGCCAGCCCTCATTATCCTCTGCCTGGCTCTGTGAAGCTGATGTCTGGATGGACCAGTTGACCTTGTGGGGTATCGAAGGACCATATTCACTAGAGGTAGAGAGGGAACGGAGGCGGCTCTGGAGCCCGGAGATCACTCCCTGGGAGCGGGATAGCTGTGAGCGGAGGTCCTTAACAAGGTGCTGGAGAGAGGAGGCCTCGTTACCATAACTGCAGCTCTGGGTGGTGGTTTTGTCATTGCTGCTGGCAGGCCACCATTGGGAACCGCATTCCAGAGACGTACACATTTCTAGGTCATCAAACTCTGTCAGGAAACATACAATGTGTTCATCAGATTCAGACTCTGTTTCCTGTGAGTGACACTGAGATATATGATTGAAAAAACAAAGCATCAGTAACATCAGTTAATGTCATCTTAAGGCCCATAGTCTGGGCAGACTACCCTTTCATCCAAATACAACTCTGGCTCTCAAAAACTTTCATGGCAATCACTCAGAGTAGCTTCTATTGATTTGATTTCCCTCTAAGGGGTCAATGAAAACCAAACCACAGTATAATAGAGCAGCCAGGAACTCTCATTTTACAGGCCAAGGCTTCAGGTCAAAGTTTTGACTAACCATCGAGCTTTTAAGCTGGGAATGCAAACAGTGCTGAGTAGAATGCACTGGACCGTGAAGAGAAGGCTACTGTTTGGCACAAAGACTGCACTTGGCTGCCCTCTGCTGTTTCTATGATACCCCGACAAATAACACTGACGAGATAAATTTCAGGATATTTACAGACATTGTATGATTAGAAACAACTCTTAATAAAACATTAATCAGAATTGAATGACATTACTGATATAAAATTCAAAACTAAGGGTCTCAAAGAACCACAGAGTCTTTTATATGGTGATAATAATACACACCGGGGCTGCTGGTTTCTTCTCTCTCAGCTTCATTTTCACTGCGGCCGCAGGTCTCATAGCCCAGATCCTGGAGGTCTACCTGGATCTGTTTACTGTCCTGCTGCACTGCTGTCTCTGCTGCAGGGATACAGAAGAAGAAGAAGCTTTATTTCATTATGTTTGACACTGCTGGATCTACTATCCTCGTCAACTTCATTGCATTTTTTGGACCATTTTGAGGTCTTATCTTATTATTGCCATCACAAATTCAGTATCACCGCCACATTTGTTAAAAGGCTAAGTGTGAAGTTTGTGTCCACTCACTGAGCAAGTCCCTGTAGTCTTTGAGCTGCTCGGCCTGAGCCTGCACTGTGGCCTCAGAAACCATTAGCCTCTCCTGCAGCTCTTTGCTTTTCTGCTGCAGATGAACTGCCTTCTCACAAACTGCAGAGGACGCAGTGGCCTGTTGTGAATCTGCGAACAGCTCGCCACCCAGGTCATTGTACTGGTTACAGACAGGGGGGAAAGATTGTGACTGTCAAAAACAATTTTAAACACCAAGTGTGGCTTTTAAATTGATACTTTCTTGTTTTTAATTTACACCACACCTTACAGAATGGTGCAATAATAGTATATTTAGGATCCTCCCACCTGTGACGATTTAGAGTCCAGTGGCAACGTCTGATGTCTGCTGGCTCTCCTTTTCCTTTGTTCATCATTGCTCTGGCTCTTGGCCTGGGACAGGCAAAGCTCTCCTTCCCAGGCTTCCCACAGTTCAGAGTTTTCCTCCTCCTCCTCTTCTTCTATGGTCACATCCAACTCATTTTCATCCTTGTCTTCACCATCCAGTGCATTTTGCTCATCACTCTGTTCACTGGCACACTCCAACCCTCCATTCAGATGACGCTTTACTTCTTCATTCTCTACCTGCAAGCTGAACAGAGCTTTCCTGTAACAGAGGGAGGTTACAATAAATAAATAGATAAATAGCTATATGGATAGATAGACTCTACTGTCCTCTAGTGGCCAAGAATAGATTAGTGTTGTCAGAAAATAGTAAGCTAATTTCAGCTTTGCCAAAAGGTGTCGCTATGTGTAGCTCCACAGGCTTTGATTTGACAGAGTTTACACCAGATGCCCTTCCTGATTAACTCCAACGGCGATTTGTGTCTTCAGCTGGAATCATATGCATTAACCGTTACACTACTAGAGACAAAACAGACTAATTTGGAGTTTAAAATCTCAAAAAAATGACCTCATCTGTGATACTGAAGAGAATCCTGCTTTCTCCAGCTGAGCCTTCAGCTCTCCCAGCTCTCTCTCAACCAGCCTCTTCTGCTCCACCAGCTGCTTGACTTTGATTAGCCCCTGACTTTCAAGCAGCATGCTGTGGGACAGATTCTTCTCTGGACCTTCAGAACTCTGTACACACGCAGAAGTAAATGAATCAATAATTCTGATCAAATGATTAGAAACAGTACATTTTGCATAATATTTATTCTGTGGGATTTATCTGTACAAGCAAGATGAACAATAACAGCTGAAGGTTGCTCTCATACCTTGGTGTCGGTCTCTTCTTCGTCGATGCTTTCAGTGTATTCAGTGTTCAAATCATCAGCCTCAACATCATCCTCAGCGCTCAGCTCTGCAGGAAGCAGACCAAAGACAACCAAATCAGAAGAAGATCAATCTGCTTTTTCTTTTACTTCAGTTTTAAGCATTTCAGAAGTTTTACAACTGAGTGTGAGACCATCACTTGCTCAATTCTTCTAATATTATTCACCCTCAGAATCATGCTGGTAATTTGTAGCACAGCCTTGTCTAACAGTCTGAGTGTTAGGCTGTATGAGTTTGATTTTCTTGTTTATTGCACTCTGCTGTAGTTTAAAGGGGATTACACTTAAGCCCTAGAATGGGATCCCAGGGATAGTCATATAGAGTTTAATCCAGAATTTAAAACCAGCGAGAAAGACTTAAAAGACGGATGGAGAAGGCTTAAAAATCCCTGAAGATGACAGGATGTTGAGTGTTCTGAGCCTTGGAAATAAAGCGGTAGCTGACAAAGAGCTAAGGCAGGACTGCCTCACGGTCTATGTTTAAGATGAGTTACTGTTATGAAGACTGGTAAAAAGTAATTATTCATTTTAATATTGAATTAAAATAATGGAAGAAAACTGTATTTACCTCATCAGTAATGATTACTAGCATTACCACAATGTCTGTATTTGCAGATATAAGTAAACAATTATATATTAAGGTATCGGTATGCAAATTTACTAGTATCCAGATCAGATACAGGGGCAGGTTCCTCTTATGTGATTGATGTTTATGTTTATTATTCCTTGATAAATAATGAATTTAAAAAATTAAAGATAAATAAATGTGACCTTGGCATCAACTTAATCTCTATATGCTAAATTTCAAATTATGACATTTATGCATATTGATCAGATGTTTCAGTCTGACACATTTTCACTCAGTGAGGGGGAATGAAGGAGAGATTTTCCTCTGAAAGGTGGACCGTGTGCTTGTGCCACTGTGTGTTTTACGTGAGTTAATACTGAACATTGCACATTAAAGAAGGAAAAAAAGGAGAATTTCAGCTTTCGCAAGTACTAAAGTAGAATAATCTGAAACCTCTGAAATCACAAAGGCATTAATCAGGTACAGTATGTTTATTATTTATTACAAACCACTTTGAAGGGTGTTTGGCTCTGGACGGGGAAAAATTCAAGGAAAAAGGTGCAGAAATGCCTACAATGCAACAAATGTGGCTTCTCGTGGTGTCTGTGCAGACGCACATATATTATTCAGTTTGATACTTCATACTTACTGTGTTCTAGTGTGACATTCGTTAATTTCACAACAACAGCAACAGAGCAACTGGACCAGTAGTTGTTGGAATGCACAGAAGCAAACATACAAACTAAATATACACAGTCACTGTGCTAAAGACAATGTGGAATGTGCTCAGATTTCCATGATCTTCAGACAGCATGTGACTTGAGTTAAGTATACAGAAATCTCAAACTTGCTGCAAAAAACATGCAAAGGCACACAAACACCATCATATAAAGGTTACATTCTGAAGCGCACACTACCACAATATTTGCAGTTATAATCATAATGATGATGTGTTATTCAAAAAATTAAAAATTAAATGCCTTGCTGTCATTTACATGCAAAAGAAGCAGCACTAATTGTGCAAACTCACAATAACTGCACTACAACATTTATAAAGTTATTAAACAAAATGTTCTTTTTTGGGACGCTACAAGCTCAGATCAATATCCATCCGTCCGCTTTCATCTACTTTCCATGTTAGTATTTTCACACCAAAGAGTTTCAGCTGATAGATTTATGGTACATATCCCATCACCACAGTGCAGTAAGCCATTCTACAGTCACCGCTCCCCAGTGCTAGAAGTGCTGCTGTTACAGATACTGTCCCATGCTTCTCTGGTGCCCACCTCCAAAGTCAGGCTGCCTGCTGTTAGGCCGGTCACGGCCTAGGACAGGGCCTCTCATTGGGGGGTTATCCTCCTGACCCAGTCTCTCCCGCAGCTCCTGGACCTCCTGGGTCAGTCTTTCCACCAGAGGGAGGCCTGAAGGATCCACCATCTGCCTCTGAAAATCCTGCAGCACAAACAAACATGAACTCACACGCATAGAACTCATGACATGTATATACATACAAGCATAGGCAACATACACACACTATCAGCTTATTAGACAAGAGGTTCTACTATACTCCACAGATACCTTCTGTATTCTCACACACTAACCCTGATGATCTCCTCCTTCACATGCAGAGTCCTGTTGAGGGAGTCTAGCCTTGCAGTCTGACTCCTGGTAAGTTCTTGACTCTCCTTCTCCCTCCTTAGAGCCAGAAAAAGCTCCTCCTGCACTGCCTGAAGCTCCAAAGCCAAGTCTGCTCCAAAGTCAGGCTGTGATCCAAAACCTGAGCTCAGCTGTTTGCGAAGTTCCTGGAGTCTTGACTTTTGCTCAGTTATGACCTCACTCAGGCGGACTGCAGAGTCCTGGAGGGAGAGTGTTGTCAGGTTTTCTGTATATTCAACCTTTTCTTTTCACTCTCGGATTTCACATGCTTTATCTGCTCTACCTTAATATACTGGTCTCTGCTGTTGATGCTTCTGAGGAGATCCTGAACTTCCTTCTGGTGCTCCTGAGCTTGATGGGTCCGGTCAGCCAGTACTTCCTGGAAGAGGCGGTCTTTGAGGTGGAGCCGGACCTTAAGCTCTTCCAGAACATCACCTGGAGCAGACTGGATCTGAGCCAGCAAGGAGCAGCGCAGATCCTGCAGATGAGATAAGAAACAAGAATATACTTATTGGTTAACACGATCCTGGGAATATTTCTCTGCAGGAACATATGTTACTCTTCCTGCCGATCTCTCTCTACCTGAGCCTCCTGTGTGCAAGTGTGCAGTGCCTTCTGCAGCTGGTTGATGATGGCATCTCTCTCTCTCAGGATGCAGCTCTGCCTCTCCTCACTCTCCTGCTGCTGCCTCTGGACGTTCCTCCAGGCATCACACACCTGCTCCAGCTCCAGAGCCTTACCCCGCAGCAGTACTTCCAGGCTCTGATACAGACACAAAAATTCCAATAAGGAAGCAAGATGAGGCAACATACTGCCAAGAAAAAAAGATGAGTTTATTTTGTGTGTCCTCTTACAGTGATGGTCTCCTCATTGCTGGCCAGGACGCAGCGCTGTCTCTCTAGATCTCTCTCCTTTTCTCTGAGCAGCAGCTGCAGGCGACGAGTCTCCTCGTCTTTCTCCTCCATGCAGCGGAACTTCTCATCCACTATTTTCTGCAGGGTTTGTGGAAATAAAGTTGTTTTAACCTCCATCTAACTAAAATGGCATGTTTTAAAATCTAAACCCACAAACTCAACCATCTTAGACCACTAACAATTAACATGATATAAAGGAGTTCACAGGACATGTTGTGTTGGTCTAATTGTTTTGGCTTTTGTCATGTGTTGGCGAGCGTACTGCTGTGTTTACCTCCAGAGCTCTGTCTCGCTCCTTTATACGCTGGCGAAGTTTCTGAAGCACAGAGTCTCTTTTCTCCGTTGGATCCTCCAGGAACTCACAGCAGTCCTGCTGGACAGCAAACAGACCGTCAACTGCAGAGTAATTACAATCCTACTTATCCACAAAGACAAAATAGAGCTTGAATGGAGCTGAAGTTTTCAGAAAGCGTCTAGGGGCTGTGAGATCAACTGCAGCTCATCTTACTTTTAGTTTTGTCGTTCTTTGCTCAGATGCGGAGCATTTTAAGCATTAGTCATGTGCACTTCTGTGTTTATTATACAATATTGACAAGAATGAGATCTGTTTGTATTTATTATCGTCGAACATGATGGTTTGTTTACTGTTTACAGACTATTTGATTGTGTCCAACCTCCACCAGCTGTTCTTTGGTCTTCAGGGAAGCCTTCAGCTCGCTGATGATCTTCTCTCTCTCCTCCTTTTCTCTCTGTCTCTCTCGCTCACCCCCTCTCAGTTGCTCCTCTCTCTCCTGGAGAGCTGATCGAGCCTTTTCTAGAGCTAGCTGCAGCTCCTGAGTGTCGCGCATGCACGACACGATAAAGTGAAAAGAACCACGATGCAATTAAAACAAAGAAAAGAAGAATGACGAAAACACCCTCATTAAAAAAAGAAGTCATTTTCTCACCTGGTTGTGTCTCTCTGCCTCCCTCTTGTGTTCCAGCGACCCCTGCAGCTCTTTCTCTAGTCTCTCCAGGGCCCGGTTCAGGTCCTCCTGAGTCCTAACTGCCTGACACTGGGCCCTCTGTCCAGCCTGCAGCTCCAGTTGAGCTTGGAACAGAGAGGCCTGCAGAGCCAGGACCTCACCCTGACCTCTAATAGTCTCTGCACCAGACGCCTACAAGTAAAACCAGTCAGGGAAGAAAGAAAGACATAAAGGGCAGGTGAGGAACCAAACAGGAATGAAACTCAACTCAACTCTGAAACATGTTTTTATTGTATGCTGAAAAATTATTTTAGATAGGCAGCTTGGTAATTAATAAAACAGAACTGTGCTTTGTGTGGAGGACCAACCTGCAGCTGCTGCAGCTGGTTGCGGTTGGCAAGCTCTTTGAGTGAGCACAGTGTCTTATTTTGCTCCTCAATCACCCTGTACAGCTCTGCAACCTGCACAATCAAAGGCACAATTCATGTGTGAAACTGTGGGGTTTTCAGCACTTTCACCTGTGACATTACTTTCATTCTCTCTGCAATGCTCAGATTTTGAATTCCCTCCTTTATTTACTATCAAGCCTTATTTATCACTACTGTACCTCTGCCTGTTTGGAGTTTACAGTATCAGTGAGGTTCTGGATATTTCTCTCCTGTTGCTGGGCATCCTCTTGGGCCGATCGCAGCTCAAGCTCCATTTCACCTAGACGCTCCTGCAGCTTCTACATACACACAAACACCCAGAACAAAATTCCACATTATCTGGAATATATTACGGCATGTGTTTGTATGTTTTCACCCACAGTCCAAAGACATGCATGTTAGATTCATTAGCAATTCTAAACTAGCTGTAGGTATGAATGTAAGTGTGAATGACTGTCTGTCTGTGTTGGCCTTGCAAAACACCAGCGATCTGTCCAGGGTGTGCATTGCCATTGGCCAAATATTAGCAGGGATAGGCTTCAGCTCTCCTAAGAGCTGTACAAGTGGATATTTTGACAGTGTCATGTTTCAAGTTCAAAGTATATGAAGGCAAAAAGAAGATGAAGCTGTAGTTTTGGAGACTGGTGTCTTTGTACCTGGTTCCTCGTCTCGCTCTCTCTGATCTTGGCCTGTAGTGAGCGCACCTGATCCTGGGCCTTCTGCAGCTCGCCAACACACTGACCTGCAGCACTCTCATAATAACTGAGCTGACCCTGCTGATTGTCAATCAATCGCTGAAAAAGAGACAGGAGGACGCATGACAGATTCATTCATTCATAATACTGATGATTCATGAATACAGTTGTTAAGTCTTAACATTTGTTGATTACAACGTTATAGTAGCAGTCTGATTAGTCTGCTTTTCTTTGCATCACATGTTACGAATGTATACTTGTGGGTTATTATGAGCTGTGACAAACCTAAATTTAAAGTTTGGTTCTTAACCAAGGATTAAAAGTTATAGTCCTCCAGATAAACACAGTCTTTTATTATTGTTGCAGCTGTTGTGTGGATGATGGAGTGAAAGTGGAAAGTGATGTCAGCTTGGTGTCGGATGGCTTCCTCTGGAAGTGGGTGTTGCCATAGCAGCATTTTGTTGACTTCCTTGTTTTTGTTTTTATGAGACTGTAATGATGTGATGTCACTCAGCCCTCGGAGACATTAGCTCTGTGCGCAGCCTTTTCTACAGTCATTTCAGCTGTGTCCCAGAGCAACACTGTGTCAAGCAGTGTGGTGAAAAGAAAGAAAGCGTAAACCAACTGGATTTGTACCAGAGGAACGACCGCTTCATTTTCTATATATTAATGAATTACACTAGAATGGGGCTAATATTTACATCACTATGTTGTCTGATTGAATTAAATAATCTGATATGCAACATATTGCAGAATAAGATACTTGTAGGGGCTTAGAAATTGTGTCATCCCCAGTTCATTTCTGAAATGTGTTTTAAAACAACAGTCGGGAACATTTGAAAATTGATTTCTGGTCAAAACCATTAATCAAATCCTACATACACTAAAATATACTTTTCCAAGGCCCTTTCAATAAATGTGAAGCAGATCCTCCCCCCAAAGCATGGTCTCAGTAGTCAGGAATTTAACAACAGAATTCCCCATTTGTGAGCCTTTGGACATTCTGTATTGTAGTAAGCAAGTATCAAATAACAAAAAATAAAATCACAAGATATTTTCCTGATTTGACTCGGTGAGCCTCGTATTTGCTTCAGAAAACAGTATTTTGGGGGGGTTGGGAAGCTCATCTTGTAACCGGAAGGTTGCCGGTTCGATCCCCAGCTCTGTCTGTCTTGGTTGTTGTGTCCTTGGGTAAGACACTTCACCTACTGCCTACTGGTGGTGGCCAGAGGGGCTGATGGCGCGATATGGCAGCCTCGCTTCTGTCAGTCTGCCCCAGGGCAGCTGTGGCTACAACTGTAGCTGCCTCCACCAGTGTGTGAATGTGTGAGTGAATGAATAGTGGAATTGTAAAGCGCTTTGAGGGTCTCGAAAAGTGCTATATAAATGCAATCCATTATTATTATTATTTTTGTATGAACCTAGTCATAAATCGCACTGTAAGACAGCTGCTCTACATCTTTGGAGGCCAGAGAGTGATGAGCCAGAACAAGACCCAGAAAGCTTCTAACAGTTCTGCTGATATTACACGTTGAGTACTTTACCACAAGGGTACAGAAATCTCAGCAAAATAATCCAGAGTTTAGTTCTATGAATGACATATTTGTTTCTTCATTCCTGGACTAATGTGTGCACTGTGCAGTTTTGTGTATTGCATTACAATAGCCGTATATGTTTGACAATAATAGACTATCACATAGCTGTTGTGTGTCTGTACGCTCCTTTCAGACTGAACCACATTTTAACTGTTCATTAACATGACAATAGAAGTTATGAAGCTGCAGTAGACAGAAGAGCCTTTACAGAGCGATGGCTGCAGACCTTGGAAACGGTTTCCATAGCAATGGAAGGGTCGCTAAGATACCGTAAAAGAGGGTTATTTATGCTTCCTTTGAGGGTAATCAAGGCGGTGAGTGTGTTCAGCTTTGTCAGCAGTGGAGGAGACAAGCAAGAGAAGATTAAGAGGGGTCTGACCTCACTCAGTGTGGATGCTGGTCAGAAATAGTTTGCTTTATTCTGACGCCCCTACATCTGATTCTAATGTGGAGCAAATCTGACACTTGTCCCCTAGTTTGTACTCACTTTTTTTGATAAAAAAAATAACTTCAGTGATTGTAATAGGATTACACCTGGGTTTTAAATTACTACCTATAATTTTCCTACAAAGTTCTCCATATTATTATATTATATTTTTTTATATTTTTTTATTTATATATAGTGTGTTTTAGAGTTTGCAACTAATTTAAGGCTGTTTACAGCTGCAAGAAGTCAGCACTTTGACTGTAAATAAGATTTTAAAGCAACCCAACCCTGACAAGTATTTTATAAAGTGCAACCCCACAGACTATTGCACCTTTCTCAAGTCTGAGAGGCACCCAGATCTTTAGGCTTTGGAACATGCTTCCCATTAAAAAGCTATAACTATTAATCCTGCAAATTGAATGAGCTACGTTAAAGGCCATCCAGTGTCCAAAGCTTCTGATGTACCTGCTGAAACTGAAATGGCCCACACAGAACATAATCATCCATCCACTGCTCCTCCATCTCTTCCAGCTCAGCCTGGAGCTCCTGTTGGGGACATGGGGTCACGATCTCTGGTATACTGTGGTGGGTGTGCAGCTCACAGTCTGCTGTCTCTGTATAGGGCAACCTCAGTGATAGGTGCAGGGGCAGTGACAGTCCTCGCTCCGGTTTGGTTTTGACTAGAACTGGGATCTTGCTGCCCCTTCGGGATTTCACTGGCCGGTGCTCACAACCCCGCAAGAGGGTCAGCATCATCTCAAACCCAGACAGGAAGCTCTCACATGGGGTCTTGTCCCACTGAATGTCTCTTCTCACCATTGCCTCACTTCCATCTTTCTCTGGGTCAGTTTCTTCCTTCTCTTTATGATCTAAAGGAAGACAACTGACGTCCACAGTGGTGTTGAGAGACTCCACAGATGATGCAGGACTGGAACTCTTCTGCTCACAAATGGTCTTTTCAGGTTCCATCCCAGCAGAAGGTGACTCAAAGGTGATGGCTGTATCAGCTCCAGGGCTTCTGGCCACAAACTCCACTTCCTGTGTGGCTGTTGAGCAGCGGGTAGTTGGGCCGCAGGATGTGCTTCTGCGCCCGAGCCTTCTAGGAACCTTACATACAGCCTCATAATCAGAATCAGCAACTCGAAGTGCAGCACAACCCCTACATCGCCTCTGCTTGTGACCAGAGAGGGAGTCTGCTCCTGTGCACTGGTGGAGGTGGTGGTGGTGGTGGTGATGATGATGGTCCAGGGCAGGGTATTCCTTATCAGCCCATGACTCATACACGGAGAAGGTAAGATCGTCCTGGATCATGTCTGAGTATCTTACATCCTGGAGTGATGACAGATCCACCACAGGAGCGTCTTCAGACGCCGTCTCAGTCACGACTCTGACACTGGATGGAGGGGGGACCACGCTGCACTCCTCTGAGTTGTTCTTCCGGTACAGGCCTCCAATACACTGCCTCAGCCGGTCTTTCTCGAGGAGTAGCTTGTGGAGACGCTCCAGAGACAATGCCTCCACTCGGGCAATCACTGTATCAAAGCGGTACATGCGGTCTAACATGAAGGTGCACTTTGAGCACGCAAACTCACCACGGCCATCCCGGGTCAGCTCACGGCCCAACGCGTGGGAGAGCAGCACCTGCAGATTGAGCTTGGCTGTTGGGTGGAAAATCCATCTGCGCTGGTTGCCACAGAGCTCACGGGCACAGATCCTGCAAGTCTCCTTCATCTTTACCACATCTAGCATCACAACACGTGGCGAACGGATAATACAAGAGAGCTTTAAAAGTCACTTCCTTTTGATGCATGAAAGAATTTCATTGCAGGGCTGGATAAAAGATGATGCTTCTCTCCCGAACTACTATCATTTGGTGTTTTTCCAAGTTATCCATTAAATGGATAAAGGAGGAAGATGAATTCAGAGTCCAGAGTCAAATCTGAACCAAAGTGAATCTTGGGCAGAAATGTTTTATGATACTGCAGGAAAACAAAGAGGTGGCAGTCTATTCAGACAGTTTATTTATCTGTTTTGTCAGATCAAATAAAAGTAGGCCCGTTAATGGAGACAAACACACTGCAGCAGCAGTTTCCCTGATTACTCAAACCTTTCGATCGGGCTGGTACGTCTGAGCAACGTGATCAGCGCCTTTAATTCAGCCAAAGACATTTCCCCTCGGAGCGGATGTGAATGAATCTTCTCTGTCATGGGTTTCACTTCCTTGGTGGGGAAGCACAGACGTCTACTCAAATCTCACTCCTGCGCTGAATTTCAACCCTGCCGTTTCCACCTGAACGATCCCGTTAAGTGTGTCACAACAGCGGCTTTTTTCTGCCTTTGAAATCAATGACGTCTCTTTATATGACAGCATCTCTCTGCCGCAGCTGCTGCCAGGTAACAACCGGAAACGAACACGGAAACAAAACGCGATTTCCTTCCTTAGTCAGCGATTTGGATGTTCCAAGGTTTACCGGCTCCCGTCTGCGTCCCCGTTCAGCTGTGTCCACTTCATCAGCGGAGGCTGTCAATCGTCCGGGTGCTTTCAAAACGAGACAACGAGGCAACGCGGACTGAAACCGAAGATCGTGTATCAAAGAGAGGATGTCTCACTCTGATGCTCGAAATAATCTGGTGTGCCAATCCCGGGGAAATCTGCCTTTTCCCTCTTGTGACACTAGTCCACTTTACACAATTAATCTGGCCACAGATGTGCTATGGACACAGTACAACTTTGGTAATAACGACTACGACGGTAACGAGTTTCACTACTGATTTCTTTTCGACACCAAAAGCCCATCAAAAATGTTTTAACACAGTCAAATCAAGCCAAATTATTTTTTTGGTGTCTTTCTGTACTCTGATGTAATATTAAATGTATCTCCTGGATATGTGTAGTTAAACCAGTAGTTTTTAATAAATGAATTCCCCCCCAGTCCATATTATCAGCGTCAGAGTGGGACCTCGTGTAGAAGGCAGGACTGAACCATTTTCTTGGCTCGGCTGAACGGTGGGGTGGGGTTGGTGAGCCCTTCCCTTTAAATCTAGTGACTGTATTTCAAATGAAATTTCTGGATTTCTTCAGGCAAAAGATGAGGCCTCTTAATTCACTCTTACCGTAACTGTCAACACAAACATTTATGTTTCTCTGTAAGTAAAAGTTCCTATGTTAACAAATGTTAACAGTAAAACTGGAGTGCAGATGCAAGGTAAACAGTCTGTTCTTACACTTACAAAAATAGTTTATTTTGATTGTGTTATTACTAATGTAAAGTCATCCAGTCATAAAATATTAGTAATTTTAACGTAGTCGCTGCTCATTTGTATTGTAAAGAGATTTTTTTTTGAACGATAACCAAACGTTTTAATATGATATTTTGATCTCTCCATGTTCAAAATGACGAAATATAAAACTAAATAAGGTAGGATTTCCCCTCGGAAAATCTTAATGTCATTTACCGTTTTTATTTGGCTTTTAATCATGTTTGTGGAAATCTACAAGCAATCAAATGGCAGTAGCAAGGACTAACACTACGATGTTCCATGTGCAAAACCTTCTGCTAATTCCCTTTCAGATCATCCATATTAAATCAGGGTGTGACCGCTTGTTTAATTAAAAATCTTACTTTTCATTTCCAGCTTGTGTGTTTGGATGTGTCAATAAAATTAGCCCTGTGTGTTTTCCATCAGGTTCATTAAATCTAAATCTAATCTCTAAATTGTCAGCATGGAATGAGTTCATGCCTTTCCCAGGGGCACACACTCCCAGTCTGGCCTTGATATGTGTGTCACACAGCATGAAGGGGGAAAGGAGGGAGGTAAATGGGCTCTGTTATTTCTCTGGAATTGATGTCAGTGAATCACATGACACTTTAATCAAGAAGCAACCCACTGTCCTCCTCTTAAAAGAAGCCCCTCCAACACGCACACACACTTAAAAAGCATCATCCATCTTTCCTTATTGAAGCAGGCTAGCTGTGTTGTTGATACAACTGCTCTCACATGTGATTTATTTTCCTCAGAGTGTGTGGGCCAACACAGAACTCTATTTTGGCCCTTGCTGCATCTACATTTGTCACCCTACAAGCCACTAGAGACACAACACTAAAAACTGATCGGCTAGAATGAGGCACGCAATCAAAAATCCATTAATCCTAATCAGAGATAAGTACCAAACAGTGCTGACAGACTGCACCCGCTGTTTACTTTTTTCTAAGTGGCAGAAATACCAAAGGGTGACAGCAGAAAATGAACACTGATGCAGACAGAACAGATATCCCCGCCCAATTTTTCTCTCTCAGATGTGTCAGTTGTTGCTGTGCTAGTTAAACAACCGATTCCTTCTGTGTGTTGAGCCGCCAGGAAAAACTGATTTAATCATAACTGGTACAGATGAGAAAAATGAGACTATATTTGCAGAAATATACTGTACATATGCCATGACTCTGCACTGACACTGATCCTTGCTGATGCTCTATAAGGAACTGTGCCTCCTAATTTTAGAAAGAGAAACATAAGCCTTTGTTCCAGCTGAAGATTAGGATACAATAACAAGTGAAACAGAAACTGACTGGAACTTAAAATAGGGCTAAGGCTGGAAAACACAATAACTGGGACCTGCAGATGGACGGTGACCCGACACTCTGACAAGACACAAAGGGAGACTGAGAAATTATCTACATACAAGAGTGTGATTAGGGAAGTAGAGACAGCTGCGGTAACAGCAGAGACAAATCAGGAGTAATGAAAAAGGAGAAGCAAAACTGAACGCACAAGAGAGACAGGCTATCAAAATAAAAGAGGAAGCATAAACAGTGAGACAGAGACAAAGACACATGAACCTGACAAAGAGGAGACAAAAGAAGCAGGATAGGAAATAACTATATAACTTGGACACAGAAAGACCGAGGCCAAAGACAACTACAAGAAACACGAGATGAGGGACTGGCAAAATACGATGGAAAGTATAGAACTCAACACACAGACAGAAAGAGGAGACGAGACTGCCTGCATGCATGGGACATTAGGGAGGACACAGGGATGAGACGAGTCTGGACATGAAAGGGAACCAAATGAAACAAGGAACTGAGAAGTAGAAACATGAATAAACTAGGAAACAGTGGAAATACTAAACTAGGAAACTAAACAGTGAAAACTAGAATGTAATCATAATAAAAACTGTTTTTTATATAGCACTTCTCTACACAACTTGCTTCATTCACACAAACACTTTCCCCCCCTCTATGCTTTTTCTACCTAACATTCACACACTCCTTCGGCATGCAGACTGGCGCACGCAGAGACTGAATCACCGAGCTTCTGAGTGATACGTGATCAGCTCTGCCACCTCGGCTACAGCCACTCCAGAGGTGGATAAGGGGAATATATACTCAGATCATAGGGAAGAAAACTAGGACTCATGTCAGTGTTTCACAAGAAACAATATTCAAACAGTTAAAATGTTTTTGTTTTATTTTAATTATGAACGTGATTATTATATTACCCTTTAAAGGGTAAATGCGCAATAGTCTTGAATGTATTTTTCTTTTACCAGGACCTTTTATGATGACAAAATATCAGGTGTAGAAACTTCAGTTTTAAATTATGACATTGCTAAACCCTAATTTTACTATCTAAACAAGCAGTGAAAGCAGTGAACATATATGCTTGGGTGTTTAAAATGAGAGGAGTATTAAATCTGATGCTACAGTCATACTGTATGTGCAGTGTGGATTAAGTAACAGAAGGTGGAGCTACTTGTCTATGAATGGAGAAGATGGGCCTCCTTGTCTGAGATGCACACCACCAACAAAAGCTGCCAGTAAAAACGTAGACGTGAGATTGGGTAGCTATCAGAATATGAATGCAGAAAATACTGCAGTGGGTAAAAGTTCAAAGATCTCACAAGTAAAGTTTTGTCCTACCTGCATCTGTGCATGAACTGTGCACTCGTGCTCACACTGCAAAGAAACAAGTGCAATAATGTCACACATAAACCACCAACATGGTTTCATGTTACTACTTTTTAACTCTCACAGGTCAAAACCTTGATTTTGAGCTACAAAGACAGCTATCCCCATCAACACCTCCTTCGTCCACCTCATTATTTGTTGATGAGGTGTGTGTTGAGGCTCAGACTGCATATATTAGGAACTGCATCAGGTTCAAAGTACAGTATTTGTTGAAAATAAGTAGAGATGGTAAAAATGATACATTTATTCAAATGCAAGCAGAAAAACACAAGCATACAGGGGTTTACATGGTCCTAAAAAGGTGCACATATTTTTAGCTTCATGGTGGCGTGAGCTGTCTACCGTGCCAATGTTCCACTGACCCACATGCAGATATAAAAACAGTTTCATATCTTACTGGGTTGACCTATCTGCTGTTTGAGCCAGAACACTTAGAGCAAAGTGACAGAAGATGAGAAGGGGGGTTGAGGCAACCAGTAAAGAATTTAGACCAGGACTGGCACGCGTGTCTGGATCACAGTCAATGTCTTTAGTCCGTCTACTAAGCAAAAGACCTTTGGATTTTTTTGAAAGATGAAAAAACGTTGGAAAATATTTAATATTCCATATCCAAATATTCAATGCCATTGGACCATATGAATGGAAAAAAAATGGATAGTTGTAATGCTGTGATATAATTCAGAGGCAAGTCCTGTTTTGAGACAAGCAGTACAGTAAAGGGTTGGCAAGGTTGTGTGTTGATCCTACACAGAGCCTCAGTGCAATTGTCAGACAGTCATCTACAAACTGTAGCCGTTTACTGTCACCAAGGAACAGTGCCAAACAGCTGGTTGTGGACTACTCTTGCAGTTGTTGCTCTTGTGCAGTTGTTGGTCCTTCAGCCAGCTCGAGTGAAACTGAGAGCTATAAACAAAACCCTGTTGCTCTGTTTGTGTGCCAGCTAACCCAAAGATTGTGCAGAGCTCCTAAGTTGGCTAATTCTGAGACTTTGTTTTTTGCCTGCAGCCTGTCAACCCTTTCTTCTGAGGTGGATGGATTGGCGCTATCAGAATCTAGCCTGTCAAGTCTGTGTGTCCTGCATTTTTCTTTCCTCTTTCGCTGGCAAAGATTCCAGAGAATCTCCCATCGCTGGTGCTTCCTGACTCAGATCTTGGACTTCTGCCGCCAAAGCCCAAGTTACCTGAGCCAGAGCCAGAGGGTCCAATGTTGCCATAGTCATTATCATCTCACTCCTTGACCGCCTGACAAGCTCCTCCTCCACTGTTGGCTTCCTGCGCGCCTTCCAGTGGGGATAACACCTACACTGGTGTTAGAATCTTTTCCATCTCCTCTGCCACCAGGTCGACCCCCAAAATTAAGCCTCTGCTCTGTCCTGCATTTGGGTCAACTATCTGTGCTTCTTTGGTTTGCCCTGAACCCACTTCCAGATCACTCCCTCTGCTGTCCCTGCTCCAACCCACAGAAAATGAGTATCACTCACAAAGACCGTGACACCAGAGGTAATTAGCTGCTTGGATATGTGCGCTTAAGGTCTTCTCTTCCACTTTGTTCTAAATCTAGCTATACCCTTACAGCTGACGGTGTACTGCTGATGTGAAAAGTAAGGAGCAGCAGGCTATTGGTTTACTCCTCATAAATTATGTAAATATACACGAGGGACTCTGGGTCAAAACATAGTTTAAAGACCTTCAAGAAACCTCTGAAATAGCACAGAAATGTAAGTCTGCAAAAGTTATTTTGATTATCACATCTTATAATTATTTTATTTGATAGAGACTGAACAAAATAAGTAACAGAATTATTTAAAACATAAAAGAATTAAATGTCTTTTTTTGTAACTAGTTGTTAAAAATAAAGGATATTTTAGGCATATTTTACTAACTGTAGGTGTTTCTCAAGTTAGTTAGATAAATAAACAGCTTGTTGATTGTACCCATAATACTTTCTTTAATGTCTCTTTCTTACTGGTTGGGCTCTAGTGACTTAATAAAACTGACGTGAATACTGTGGAGCACTGGGGCTCCTGTCTAGTATACCTCAGATAATCACTATGTGCTTTCAGCTGCACATAATAGGAAAATAAATCACTTATTAGGGTCACCTGAACTCTGTCATGTCTTCTTCAGTTTTATAGCAATAAAGTATAACAATATTTGCAATATTAAGGGTGTGCGTGCATGATCGCCTCACCCTCTTATGTTCATGTAAGGAATATCATGAAAATACCTCAGTTTTTCCTTCGTCTTTGTGCAGACAAGAGGAAGGGTTTTGAAGTCTCACTTCAAGCTCTTTGACTTGAAGATGCAGTGAATGTTTGTCCTGTGTCAGCTCCTCAATCATTCTGATAAAAAGAAGAAACAGAGACAAGCATTAATGTAGCTAAAGCTGCAGTTTACCCCAGCTGATATGGGATAAGGGGCATGGCACATCATCAATCTGTTACTTGTCTGCGACAGACCAGAACACGCAAAGTCCACACAGAAAGACCCCGACCAGATGGTGGAGTTGAACACAGGGCCTTCTTGCTATGAGCCAACAGTGGTAACCGCTGTGCCACTATGCACAGGTATTTATGTGCCACCAAAATGCAGTCACATCAAAAATTGAAAAGCTGGTGTTTTCAGGTGATAAATCATAGACTGTGCAATGATTTGTTTTTATGAATTAATTATTTATTAAAACTAGCACAGCACTTGTATTTCATTCATTGTACTAAATACTGATTTGCCACAATGATAAAAAAACAAAGTGAAATCAATAAAATTAAACATATGGTGAGGTTCATCAAACCCCTCTGAAAAACTCCAATGCACTCATAATGTACAGTGCAATAAGCTGTTTTACACAAACTGGGATTTTGGTTGCAAGTCTGTGGTTAGCTACATATTAAATTACCTGTCTTTGTCTGTCAGTGGCTGCAAGTTGAGTATTCCACCAGAGGCTTGACTCTTCTCCAACATCTGTTTCTCAAGAGTGAGGTAGCGCTGGGTCTCGGTGTTTGCCAGTGAGGCCATCCGTTCAGCCTCAACTCGTGCCAGCTCAGCCTCCTAAACAGATGCATGTTCTCATCAGCATAAACCTCATTTTGCCTGTTAGTAGCATGGAACTGCTTAGCCAGTGCTACTATCTGTACCTCTTGTAGTAGCCGGACTTTGGTTGCCATGATTTCCTGTAAGTGGTTGATTTCCTCCTGCTGCACCACCAGACGCCGCTGCAAGTCTGCTTCATTTTGATTAGACAGGCCCTTTGCCGTCGATCTGTATGAGTTGAAATGAATAACAATTAACTTGTATAGGAAGTACTAAAATAAAATAATCCCACACGTATTCAACCTTCCTAACCACATCACATCTTAGTAAAAATTCAATGGTACGTGCATTATCTTCAAGCTCGGGTCCTCTAGCAGAAGCCTGCTAATCAGAAGGTTGGGTGTTCAATCCTCATCTTGGCCAACATACTATTCCTAAGTTGTTCTCAAAGTATCAAATGTGTACTATTTGCAAACCTCAAATCACACACCTTGTCTTTAAAAGCAACATAATTCATTGGATAACCTGTTGCAGTGTCTAAGAATAATTCAGAATGAATAATCAATGATTTTAATATACCACACTGCTTTTACTGGCTAGCTGTTAGCGATCAATCCCAGAGCAAAGGCTCCTTCTTTGCCGTCTTCATCTTGTTCTCTTTCTCTCCCTCTCTCTGCAGTAATGGTGCAGTCAACAAAAAGTTAAATGTTACAGTGAAACAGACTTTACAACCCATTAAAAGGCACACTGATCTGTGTTATTTATAGCAATATTCAAACTGAATACGGGCTGCTGCTGGCCGTTGACAGGTAACATGCTTTTGACTTGCTGTCACCTAAACTGGAGCCGTACTATTAAATAACGAAGCCCAATTTGACCAGAAAAGGAATATAAATCTTTAACTAACTGAAATATTAAAAGAATAAAGAACATAAGCTCCTTGGCTGACAATGGCAATGGCTTTTCTTATTCTTGTCTAAATTATCCACACATGATAACAGCAACAAACTGTGCTGTGATAACAGGAAATGAAAATAATAAAGACAGCCTTTTCCTGAAAAACATGGACCATCTTTCCCTTTAGGGAAATTTACAAAAAAAGCATCAAATGCACATTAAATTGTGTAATCTGAAGTTTGCATCCTGATCTCAGTATTCTGCTTAGTTTATTGTTTGGAAAGGAGAACGGCTGAAGAAAGAAAGGGAGACAGCTGGCTTGTAAACAGGTGCTGGAGCTCATATAGTTCCCAACTCGGCAAACCATAAAACCTCTGCCCTTTACTCAACCTACTCCCATATTCTAATCACCCTCCCCCTTTAAAAAACAAAAAAACACCCTTAGTAAGACCCTCACTTCTTCTCCACCTTGTCAGTTTCCTACCCTCTTTGTCCTCTATCCCAGAACTCAGAGGGACTTCACAAGCATTTTCGTGCTGAATCCATGCATTCCTTAGAGCTTAGTTTGTGTTGTGATAGCTAGGTTAGTCTACAGGCCAGCAGGCTTGCGTGTGATGAGAGGCCGTGGGGTCCTGAGCTTGCCTTGGCGCTGACGTACTGTTGGACTCATGGGAAACAAACTAGTGATGAAAGGAGCGTTTTTGTGCTTCGCTCAGAGGTTTCCCTAAAGGGATTTCAACAAATCTGTGCATAAGTAGTTGAGTATTCGAAACCGCTTTGAATTTTAAAATGGTTACAGGATGCTAGCGAATTATTTGTTTGATAACAGTGGAAAGGAAAAGTACGATTTTGCAAATACTTACTTTGCTTTGTCCAAAAGCTCTTGTTTCTCCTCGAGTTCCTTTTTCAGACTCTCAACTTCAACCTTGAGTTCAATATTCTGGAAGAAAATCATAGAAGCGGATAAGAACAAACAATAAAAGTTGCAGGTCTGAAATTTCACGTGCATCATATTCAGTG